GACTGATCTTTTGGTTATTCACGAACTTGCTAAGAAACAAGTAAACTCACCTAATTCTTCATCATCGTTTTCAAGCGCACAATTGCCGTTACCTAAAACTGGCATACCTCGTCACAACACCGCGGAAATAAGTTTTTCTTTCGGAGTACGGTAAAGTATTTTTATTGGTCAGCGGCATACCTTGCGAAAACAGAAAAATGCCGGCAGCTTTGAAATGGTTTTCGCGCGAGTCTCACTTGCTTCATAAAAGTGTACAACTTAGAAAGGATACTGGAAACTTAGCCTTAAAACTTGGCACAGATTTAGGAAAGTTCTTTTTCTCTTTTACATAATTTGCCAAAACTTAACGGAAGTTGCACACTTCTTTTGTGAGGTATTATTGGTAATTTGTGAGTCCGTAGAAACAGTAGATTGTTTTTACGAGATGCTGTGCGCTTAGGCGAAAACCAGACGGCTGTGTAGCGGCTGCAGCGGCGTTCTGAGGACACCAACCCCTCAGGTTTGTAGAACTGGTGGCTTTGAACCCATGAATCGGTCTGTCAACTGCATTTCGACCGCATTCGCCTAGAGGACAAAACTTGCTCGTGTCCGTCGACTTGAGGGCACTAGCGGAAGTTGCACTACCATCGTATCCCAGCACGCTTTTACAGAATTCTGGACCAAGTTGGACAGAAAAGTTTTACTTATAAACCAGGGACACAAGAGATTCAAAAACTGGCCTCGACTCGGGGAAGAATTAAGCGAGGTATGTCTTGTCATAAAATGCCCATTTAAATTAATACTGTACTTTTAGAGGAGGGTTGGCTTAAGGAAATTTTTTAGTTTCCAAATTTAATACGTTTTTTTTGCAACAGTATTAACTTCGAACCGTTTTAGAAGCTCATAATTATGGAAACCAAGGTAGACAACAATTATCAACTGTATTTCGTAAACTTCTTATAAACAAGATTATTTCAACAGTAAAGGCCGATAGTTTCTAAAGAAACTGTTTGGGGCAGCGTCGGTGGAGGTAACGAAATAATTTGGATATATCAACAAAGTTGAAATGGTAATTTGGCTACCGTAACGATTACAAAAGCTGACGTTTCGAGCGTTAGCCATTCGTCGGAGCTCCGACGAAGGGCTAACGCTTGAAACGTCTGAAAATGACAGAAAACCGTTGCAGATGTGTGATGCAAAAATAACTGAGAATCAGACAGACACTGTTAAACAAGAGGTATGATTCTACTCAATGTATTATGTGAACTGCCACAGTTACACATACACAATTTTTTTTTTCGACGGGCCGTTTTCTTTGCATCTACCTCTGTTTTCACCTTCATTGTAACAATTGTGTAACGGGCGTGTCGAGAAATAGGAGAGATGGATTTTGAAGCTGATCAACAATTTACCTCTAAGGTACAGAGTTAGCTGTAAACAGTGTTTGGTATAATAAGTGAAACCGCTTTTTTCGCCGAACGTGATCTACGACCAGTTGTATGAGTGGATTAAAGACAAGCTTTGTGACTCACTTTATAGATTTCTAAAAGGTCATTCCTGCAGCACCGCACTTATTAAAACGACTGAGGATTGGCACTCTTCCCTTGATCAAAAACAATGTGTGGTTGCTATTACCATCGTTCTCAGCAAAGCCTTTGATTCTATCTGCCAAGGATTACTTATTGCCAAGTTGCGTGCGTATGGTCTGGGTGACAACTGTGTTAAACTTATTAACTCTTATCTAAACTGTCGTCTTCAAAGAGTAAAGCTAAACGGAAACTTTTCTAATTGGCGAAATGAAAAGCGGGGTCCCGCAAGGGAACCTGTTGGGCCCTCTTTTCTTCAACACTTTTATTAATGACCTCAACTTTTTCTGTGATCACTCATCCCTCAGACTCTATGCTGACGATACTACCTTGTACGTCAGTAACTCATCTC